CATGTCATCTGGCCTTGAAGTACTTTTAGAACTTTCTCCTAGACCAGTCTGAGGGAGCTCAAGGTTGCGGTGAGTTATGGGGTCTTTAAGTTGCCTGCCCAGCAGCCGGCCCTTGTGCCCACACTTGAGGGCTAACACCTGCTGGCTGGACAGAGCTATTAATTTTTTTAAAAATGTGATAAGCCGCCAAAAATCAAAGCTCAAGGATAAAAATATAATTTTACCTCTTAAGCTTCCAGGGATGGCCTTTGATCTCTTCCAATGCTTATGTGGCAGGAGGCATGGATTTTAAATTTTCCTGCAAAAGAAGCACCTTTGAAAGACACCAAACACAAAACGCTGACTGTCTCTGTCTTCCGTCCTCTCACTCTTGCATCATTACGCTGACACCTAACTGAGATGGTCCCTCACAGCAAAAAGACAAATCTAACAAATGTCCCCTTCTTTAAAAAATTATCATTGAAAGCTCTTAAATTATACCACAGTTCCATCCCTTGTAAGATCAAATGTTATTTCCCTAAGAGGCGATAGTCGGGTTTTCCAGTTGATGATTATAATGTGGCATTTGTTTCAGAATGTCTGTACATTAAATAGATAACTGTGAACTTCAAAGAGCAAAATACCAATCATGGGCTGGGGCACGGCCACACATACAGCCTCCCTCCTTCTCCAAACTCTTTGGTAGCCAAGACAAGGTCACTGGTCAGGGTAATTTGCAGGAAAAGTCAATTTCTCAAGTACCGAAGCAGGTGTTGTGGCACTCTATGAATCTAAATTGAGGAAGTTGAAAAAAGCAAAGGTCATGATCCACAGGAAGAAAGGAGGAAAGAAAATCTCTTTGACTGTATTTTTAACTCCTTTCAAACAAGATGCACTCACCAACCGAGACAATTAACGCTAAAAATAAATAAATGAAAATCGGGGTAGCTCATTCCAATCAGCAACTTACCTGATTTCTTTCAGTAAAAGCAGAGGATTTCATGTTTGCCTGAATTCACAAGGAAATAAGCTCAATTTATAAGAGCTAAAGAACAACTCTTCTCCTTGTGAGTGGGTAGCAAAAATCAAACCAAGATATCAGAACTTTCTGTCTTTAAATCAAATAATATATATTATATGATACATACTACTTAGCATAGGGTATATAGTATAGTTATAGAATAATATATGATAGACATATAGTATATAATTCTGGATATTTTATTTTAAATCCACACATTCCCTATTTCCCCAAAACTAGGGATAGAGAACACAGTCAAAATGGAAAATTCTTTCAAGAAGGGAAAAGAAACATGAACCTTACACTTCATAATGTTGTTGATGTGGCAAGGAGAGCATGGGATGTGGAGTTAGAAGATTTGAACATAAATTCTAGTTAATCACTAATTAGCTGTGTAATTAGAACAAACCACTTAACTTCTTTAAGTCTTCATTTTCTCATCTGTAAAATAGGAGGTTGTAAGGATTAGATAAATGAATATATATGGAAGCATTTGGCAAGTTAGAAATATTTCATGATCACTGTTCACCCTTACGGTGTACTTTCCCGAAGGGTAAAATGCACACACCCTGGTATGCCTAAGGTTGGGGCAAGCACTGAAGGTTTTTTTTTTTTTTTAAAAATGAGTCAATGTGAAAAATAAATAATAGTACAGGTGGAAAATTACTGAAAGTCGCATGCAAAAGACTGACGTTTGGGTGACTTTTCCAGATTTAAATTCTTCTTGGGAGGAAGGGATAAGAGATGGAACCATCAAACTCCCTAAGAATATCTCCAATACAAAAAAAAATTATCTTAAAATGTAGATAAATGAGTTACCTTTTAAACACCCAACCTAAAAAGAAAAAAAATATATGATTTGTTTGCCTGTCAACTTCTATTAAAAAAAAATCTCACGAAAACAATACTGTCCACATAATCCAAAGCTGAGTTCTAGCTTGTAGCTCAATGTTTTCAAGCAATATTACATGCAATAAAATTGCATTTCCAGAATAATCTGAATGTTTCCCTTGGAATATATGTCCTCTGTCTAACAAGGGAAGCTCATACAGTGTTTTTGGTAAGAGTGTGATAGCCCTAAGTTACCCTAAATGCACACTAACCTCCTCATTTTATAGATAGGGAAACAGAACTGGAGAAGGACAGTCATTTGGTGACTCTCCATATGTTGCAGATCTGGAACTAGAACCGGCTTTGGGTCCATAGAATAAGTCCAGGGGCCTCCTCCTTCCTAAATGTCAAGTAGTTAACATCCAAGCAAAGTCAGGAGAAACGCTTGACATTGAAATTCCCTCTGTTCATTTTTTCTTTTTAAATTTACTGGTACTAGTTAAAATCCTATGTCAAACATAGAGGGCAACCTTAAAAAGCATGAAGCACTCAATACGTTAAGAATGGAAATATATTACCTTCTTTCAGTTTCATATTCTTATTTGTTCTTAAATTTTATGGTTCTTCTATATTCTTAGTTTAGTTCTGAAGTTACTTTCCCTGTTTCCGTTATCTCCCCTTGAGTATAAAAAATGCTTTCACAAAGATGCTTCTTAATTTTACCCAGGGTGTTTGTGCACCATCCACATTTATAGGAATACATATTTTTTTGAGATGGGGTTTTGCTCTTGTTGCCTGTGCTGGAGTGCAGTAGTACGATCTAGGCTCACTGCAATCTCCACCTCCCGGGTTTAAGGAATTCTCCTGCCTCAGCCTCCCAAGTAGCTGGCATTACAGGTGCCCGCCACCACACCCGGCTATTTGATTTTGTATTTTTAGTAGAGACAGGGTTTCACCATATTGGCCAGGCTGGTCTCGAACTCCTTACCTCAGGTGATCTGCCTGCTTTGGCCTCCCAAAGTGCTGGGCATGAGCCAATGTACCCAGCTTGTTTACAATAATTTTGATACTTTACGTCATCTTCAAAATGCTTTGCTCTGCTCTATATTTTGGGAATTCTGTAAGCCAGAAGCTCTTGTTCCCATACAAATAGTTTTAAATTAATTAGTTACATAAATTGCTCAGATGGAAGGAATACTCATGTTTAAATTTGTATGCCAAACATGTTAACACAACTTCTAGTGACTCAATATGAGTCACACGATCACGTCCCAAAGTGTGTTTTATGCTAAAATTGCAAACTTGCCTGAGTGCTTTGTGGAGGTGGGTGCTTGTGCTTTGTGGAGGCATGGGAAGTTAACTATAGACCCTCACCTAAGTGCCCTGGAGAAATTTTCCCAGCATCAGTCTTGAGAGCAGGCTTGATTTCCTCTTCTGGCTAAAGGGTCACTTGAGATCTTTCCACAGCTTCATGATGTGAATTACATGAGATAAAGAAAGCATTAGGACAGTGGCTGGCTCATTAAGTGCCCAATCACTTGTAGACATAATTGATTTTATTAGCTGAATGAACTAACAGTCAAATATGCTTTGTTTTGCATGAAACAGGATAAAATATATTTTCAATTTGATTTAAAGTAATTAGCACATTCATTTTCCACAGCTTTTCTAATCAAGCTAAATGCTAGGTCTCCTCAAGGAAGAATAAATAAGTCCAATATTATCTTGAAATTTTAAAAGGTTAAGAAAACACATGAAAGTAAGAATGGAGAACAGGGGTAGGAGCTATATTATTTGTATATTGCCATGGAACTTTACTTACAGTGCAATAGAACAACACACCCATATACTTTCTGACTGTCAAATCATATTTCTAATCTTTGTCCAAGGTCTTAGTATAGGAACGTTTACAGGAGAAATGAAATAAAATTAGAAGGCTCCTTCTTTCCTTCTCTTTCTTTCTCCTCTCTCTCCTTCCCTTTCCCTCTTTCTTTCTTTCTTTCTTTCTTTCTTTCTTTCTTTCTTTCTTTCTTTCTTTCTTTCTTTCCTTTCTTTCTCTCTCTTTCTTTCTTTCTTTTCTCTTTGTCTCTCTCTCTTTCTCTATTTCTTTCTTCTCTTTCTTTCTCTCTTTCTTCTTGCCTGTTTCCTTTCTGTCTCTCTCCTGCTCCCCCCGCCCCCCGCCTTTTTTCTCTCTCTCTCACTGTTTTTCACAAAGGGATACATCTAGCTTAGGAATGTGGCACTGAGCTAATTAGCCAGGCAAATAAATAAATACAGTAGAATATACAAATAAAGGTGGCCACACCTGCAGGCACTTGGGTTGAGTGAGAGGGGCCCAGACCCTCGACAGAGGGTCACACTGGCCTCTTTTCCACCAACCACTGACTGTCCTGCAAGCACAGCTGACACCACTTCGCCTCCAGCAAGGTCAGAGCGCAGCGTCACAGGAACAGAGGCAGCATTGTCTTCACGTTCACACGGAAACACTGTCCAATGTGCTCTGATAAGCAGCTGCAACGTGGCCTTCCCCATGGTGGCAGCACCAGGGCCTCCCTTGAAAGCCATCTGCCTCATCCTCCAGTGGCCACTTTTCTTCCTTAAATCTGCCTTCCATAAAATGCCTTTTCTTGGCTTTTAAAAAACCCTTCAATCCTTCTGGGACTGTGAGAATTATCACCTTCCCTATTTCTACGAATTGCCTTTAAATGAGAAGTTATTTGGCCTGTGGTAGGCACAGTCACTTGGAGCCAAAAGCTCAATATGAGCTATGATTAATGAATTATAAAGCCAATTCACTGAGCCATGACATTAGTGCAGCACTGTCGTAAGCAGGAACTAATTATATGTGGAAATAATCATTCAACCTGAGAAAGGCATTTCCTATCCATTAGAAAATACTGTGAAGAGATAATACTTAAAAAAAAAATCCATATACTACCATTGGCCAAAACAAAAGACTATTCACTCTTTGAAAACAAATTTAGATTTTGGCTTAATTATAGGTTTTGCTCTTATGATAAAAGAAGTGCTACTTGATTATTTGATTATAAGCAATTTAGTACACGACTAGTTCTTGAAAAAAAATTCTTTTAATTAAAAGCTCTCAATTTGTGTTTTATTAACAAAAGCCTCCATGGGCGGAAAAATGTTTTTAAAACTATAACACAGGTTTAGGAAAAAATTTTGGTGATTATTGTTCATTTATTTTCCTTATTAAGCTAATTTAATTATCATTGAGACACAAACATTAGCTCCAGTACTGGGCTTCTCACATCTGTTAGTAAAGATTTGATTAGGGCTACACAAATGTGCTAGATTAAACTATCTAGTTGGTGAAATTCAAGCCACCTGGATATTTTAGCAACATCAATAAGAATAATTCTCTTTTTCAAAATCAGTAAATCCAAGCTATATTAAAAAGAATTAATTAATGAGTGCCAGATAGGCAAAACAAACATTTGACAATGAATCATATTATCAGAGGTTTGGAGGGAGATCCCTCTCAGCTTATGTTTAGATGTCAAATTATATTACCAAAACCAAACAATCTGTTAAGATGATGTCTTAATGCAGTAAGTCTCCAGTGCCATACGGGGTTTTCTTGATTTTTTTTTTAACTTCTTAAACATCATTAATAGAAAAAAAGATATGCTCTATTTACCAATGATAATCAAATCATAAGACATTTGCCCCAAAATGTTACCTTGGATATTTCCAAGAGCTGTTAATCATTGAAATCCTATTTAAGATACTGTTACAAAGTTTAGTTAATGTACCACACATATATCTTGATATATGCTTCATAGGAGGAACTCAGTAAAGAATTAATATATAAACATTAGGGGTTTCATAAAATATATAAAGAATTCTAGAATTAGAAAGAACTCAAAAAAAAAATCATCCAGTCTAGGGCTGGCAAACTTATTCTGTCAATGGGCAGATAGTAAATAATATTGGCTTTGTGAGCCTGATGGTCTCTGTAACAACTATTCACCTTTGCCCTTGTAGTCATAGACAAGAGTAAACTAATGGGCATGTTTGTGATTCAATAAAACTTTATTTACAAAAGCAAGTGGGAGATGGAGTTTGGCCCACCAGCAGTATATTGATAATCTCATGGAACCCAACTTCCATATTTTAAAAACCAGACACCTTTGGCCTCATGTGGGATGGCAGCTTGCCCAAGGTTAAACAAAAAGTTAAGCAGCAAGTGGCAGAGCTGAAGTTGAATTTGACCCTCTCAGCTTCCAGGGAAGTGCTGAATACATTGTAATGATACAGGGATGGCTGGCTGTGTCCAGATGGAAAGTCTGCCTCACCCTTAAAGCAGATCTGAAATGCCTCATACATTTGATGTCTATAGAATTGTGATGTGTGGATGACTCTTCATATCTCCAGTGAATAAGCTGCTTTTCAGAGACCTAAGCAGAATCACAAATAATATTTTTTGGGAAAGGAACATGAACATCCGTACAGTTAACCAAGCATGAAAATGCTCGCCTGAAAACCCACACATGGCTTGCTTCATTAAAGACCATTTCAGTCTTGAAAAACTGCATTTCTATTGAATATTTATAACAAATATGATTGAATAAGAAGAATTTGAAGTGGAAAAAACCCTATGTGTTGTGATTCCAAATTAAATCTTATTTTCATGTTTGACAGTGTTTTGTATTTCCCAGGTTTGAATGGTATAAGGAACCATCTTATTACAATGCCCTTTTTTAACACCAAATGATAAGACTTTCTAGATTAACACTTGAGTCACCAACATTCATTTTCCAGTGTGGTTTCCTCCTTTCACATAACTCATTCTTTTCATTTGGAAGGAAGCAGAAGAATGAGTCCCTAAGCAATCCTAAATGGGGACATGGGTGTGGATCTTTCTCTGGGATGTCTGCATGGAAGGGCTTTGTAATCCTCACTCTAAAACTGACAGTCCAGAAAGACATGATTGATGAAAGGGAACTGGATGTTTGAGTCAAAATGGACCGTCATTAACTAACTGAACCAAGTAAATGAAATGGAGTTTCCAAGGGGCAGTGGGGCACATTCTTCTTGAAAACATGGGCCCAATGTTCAGGATGTGTTTTACTGAAGGGGGTGGGGGAGTGGTGGGAGCCATTACTTAATGGATCCCAGCTTGCAAAGGTGAAGTAGCCCATACTATATATGTGTGTGTGTGTGTGTGTGTGTGTGTGTGTGTGTATACATAGACACACTTTCTTTTTTCTTCAGCAGCTCTGTGTTGATGTTGATTTGCACATCTCTCACTGAAAGATGAGGGTGCATATTCTCCTGTGTCATGCATTTTCTGGCTCTGAAATCACAAAAATAATACTTATAGATGCAAATAAAATTATGCTGCTGTAATTGTTTTCTATAGTTTAGTTAGGCATTTTACACCAGCTTCGAAGTAAATTAACCTGTATGTTTTACTACTTTATGTAATACAAGATGAACAATATAAAAATCTTACATTTATGTGAAATTATATTTTCATATATGGGTTTCTTTTTGATCAAAATGTTAGATTTTTAAAATTAATTGCATTCTTTTTACAATACTTCATGTTAGAACTTAGCTCATATGTAATATCAAGGACAGCTTTAGAGTATAATAAAAATCCATATATTATTGAAATATTGGAGCATATACATGTTTTTAAAATAAAAGTTCTTCAACCTATGCCCCACCACCAGCCCCCACACACAAAAAAACTACCACATTGCTTTAGGTCAAGGATAACAAAAGCATGAATGATTCAGATGAACACCTTTTGAACTTTTTTCGGGAAGACTTGAGTGGTAGGATAACTAAAAGTCTTAACCAGAATGAATGCAGGTGGCCCTTTCTCGGCTTGAGACATCTTGAAACAGTTTTTGTGCCTAGCAAGGAGGCTCTTGTGTCATTATGGTGAGCTCAAGAGGGATGGAAAGAGAGTATGCAAATGAGTGCATATTTATTGGTTCAGAAGCAAGACTGACCACCTTAGAGTTGAGTGGTGCAAAATCTCATTATGATTTTTTAGAAGCTGGCCAGAGTACATAAAGGGAATAAAAGTGCATTTTCATTATGTTGTTTTCACTGAAGGAATTTCTTTTTTTGTGTGTGTGATAGATGCTTAAAGAATACAGGATAGCATGTTATGCAAGAATAACAAAGACAAACAATTAGCAAACTATTGAGTTAGAGTGGAGCTACTGCGGTGCATGTTTAATTGTAGGACCAAACAAATGTCTGTGCATTGTTAATGGGTGAAAATATTGGCTGAGCTAGCTGAGCTATTCCTACTTATAAAATAGAACCTGAAGCAAGTATATAAGACTTTGTAGTTTGTATTTTTATATTAGCCTTATTCTTTACTCCATGTTATGTTCTTACTTTTGTTTTTCTCCTCATTTATGTTATCTTGAAGTATCTTATGTACCCTTAGAAGCTACTTTAGGTCCAATTTAGAACTAGAGCTACACATATAGTTTGCATTTTACACAATTATGGAAATTTGAAGATGTTATCATTCCCTGATAGGCACAAATTATTATAAGAAAAGCTGAAGTCATTAGCCCAATAAAGGATTAGAATTAACAATGAAAGTGAACTTAGAGCATAATTAATGAATTCTCTAATTGCTCTTCCTGTGTTAGTTCATTAAGCCTGACTATTGAGTGGATATTCAGGCAGCTGTCTCCAACATCTGTCATCTCATTGATTCCCTGAGTTGATGCTATTGAAGCCTGGGAGGAAGGGTGCCTTTCCTCCTTCACTGTTCTTTGCATTTCCCTCCAAAATGAACATGCTAAGAAAACGAAAACCTTTCTCTAATATGACTGCCTGACAATGAGCAGAAGCACTATGAGACTTCCATGGAAAGGATGGAGATTATGCTTACTTCAACCTTCGCTGTCGTCGATTGTGCACGCTTGATAGCAGAACAGCTCTTGGTCATGTGGCACCTTTAGGATCGGGGTTTTACTGGTGATGAGATAATATTTGGGCAGATATCTGCTCAAATAGATGACATTCCCAACAAATGAACCCACAGACTCATTCGTTGGGAACAAGTTCACAGTCAATGTGTGGGAGGCACCACATGACCCTCCCAAGCAGGAAGACTTGCAATAGGTTGCACTGCGTTCAAAGACTGACAGCATAGAGGGGAAATGAGCTCATCCTTTACTTGTCTGGTATTCTAGTCCAACCTTTATTGGACTGCTGTTCTAGGTAACCCACTCACTAAAAATTGCAGGGGCAGAAAGATCTAAAAAGCTGTGTCACTATCTTGTTATCAGCTTGTTAAGTTCCAGGACTTTGCATTAAAAAGGAATAGTTGCTTAGGCTATTATTAAAGGGAAAAGTAGCACTTTAGCTGCAGAGTAGTTGGCTGGCAAAAGCAATCCCAGGATCAGTTCAAAGCTGGAAATGATGTTGGTTTCGGGGCAGCATGCTGGGTTAAAACATTTTCTTTGCAGATACAGGTAGTGATTTACACACGGCAATTGAAGTGTGTTCAGGATATATATCATAAAGCTCACAGCTACTTTAAAAATAGGTTGGCTTCAGCTGGTACCTGCAGATACTTATACATACACTTGCTTGTGACCACTAGTATTAATAATGTGTAACATTTGAGATATTTCAGAGTTCCACACTTGACCTTGCCCAAAAGATCTAGAAGTAATTTTTTTCAGAGTTCCAGATGCATGGATTTATTAGAAAATGCTCGGCCGGGCGCGGTGGCTCAAGCCTATAATCCCAGCACTTTGGGAGGCCGAGGTGGGTGGATCACGAGGTCAAGAGATCGAGACCATCCTGGTCAACATGGTGAAACCCCGTCTCTACTAAAAAATATACAAAAAATTAGCTGGGCATGGTGGCGTGTGCCTGTAATTCCAGCTACTCAGGAGGCTGAGGCAGGAGAATTACCTGAACCCAGGAGGCGGAGGTTGCGGTGAGCCGAGATCGCGCCATTGCACTCCAGCCTGGGTAACAAGAGCGAAACTCCGTCTCAAAAAAAACAAAAAAAAAAACAAAAAAGAACAAAAAAACAAAAAACAAACAAACAAAGAAAATGCTCTTCTGGGTGGAAGATATGGCTTGCTATTGTATTTCCCTTTTGCAGAAAAGTAAGTCCAACAAATCAGTGAAATTATTATAGACAGAAATTATCTATGGGGCTCCACTTCCCCAGGCTATATTTCAAATTGGTGTGGGGATGGTGGGCTATATGGAAGTTAAGGGGTGGAAAAACCATGGAATCATCAGGAGATTAAGTTTCCAGTCCAGATTCTGCCACCAAACAACCTCATAACCTCAGCAGGTCTCCTTTCTGTTCTGTCTTTGTAGAAGAAAGAGTTGAACTCACTGATTTCTGAAGCTTCCTTCCAGGTCTGACTTGTTTGGACATTATGTGCTTTCCCTTCTGGAGAAATAAGGCTTATTCCCTGTGGGTGGTGGTCTCCGGAAATCACTCTCAGTGAGTAAACTGCCCTCCTCTCCCTGCAGTGGGAATCACAACTTCCTCTCCACTTAAGTTGCTAGTGCTTTTGCATTTTAAAATTACTAAATCAAAGATCATCAACCAAGAGCCACCTGATCAATCAATTCATCCAGAAGGCCCTGGTTGATCATCTTGTAAGTAAAGTACACTCACTGACTCTTCGGCTTGCTTGTTTATTCACTTATTCAACAAATATTTACTGAGTACTTGCCACGGGCCTGTCACTACAAAGAGGATAAAGCAAAGAACAGGACAGAGGAGTCCCTGTCCTTCTGAAGCTCATGATTGAAAGAAAGATGCAGATTTTAAAGCACAAGTGATTACAATAGAGTGAAAGGAATAAAAATGTAAGTAGGCACAGAAAGCTGTGAGAATGCTTAGTAGGGGAGTCCCAATCCAATCCAAGGGTCAGGGAAGGTGTTTCCTGAAGGGCTGGTATTGAAGCAGAGACCTAAAAGATGAGGCAAAGTTAGTGAGCTGAAGGGAGTCTTGGAGGGAGGGAAGAAAGCAAAAGTCATTTATCCATGTTCTGCAAATCACCTGACAGACGGAGGCACCTGCTCCAGGTGACAGGATATTAATGGGCGGCTCAGAAGGAGACAATGGAACCCTTTGAAACAGGAAAATATTCAAAGTCTGATTCTGACCTTTGGAGGGATTGATGGATTCAAAGAGGATGTATCATACAGGGTCTTACTTACAAGCAATAGACCTTGACTCTAGAATATATATGCACAAAGGTACTTGCATAAAAACATATTGGACAGGGCCTTTTCTTTTGATCAAATTGAAATAAGAGAGACTGATTTTACTCTCCTGAAACAACCAAAAAGCTAACAGAATATAAACAGTTTTTGAGATACTGATTATCAAACAACGGAGAACACTGATCCCTAGGAGACAGGTTTATTAATGAGGTGACCCTAGGATTGCCCCAGCTTACTGCCTGGAGTGAGTTTCCAGGCTGTGATGCAGGACCAGACAACCTGGCAGATTCCCTGGTTGAAGAAGTGGAACTGAGAATCTGAGGAGACCAAAGGAGCTCAAGTTCACAAGACAGGGTGCCATGAGGAGAGAAGGCACACGAGGAGAATTCCAGAAATCTGCCGAGGACCCCCTGCAAATATTTAGCTGATTATTTTTCATTACATCCAAGTTAATGAAAAAAAAAAAACTATCCAAGCTAATGAAAAAAACAAAAACAAAAACAAAACCAAAAACTGAAAGGATTAGAGGCAGCAGCATCCAGTATATCACAGGATCTGGAAAGTGGTGTGTTCCCACCAGTCAGACTGGAAAACTTCCTGGTTCATAGGGTATTGGTTCATTGTTCATTGATAGTGGTTCGAAATTAATGTCTTTAGACTGAGCACACCTCTACTACCACATCCCAAATCTTAAAAGTAAAACCCAACAGTCCAAACTGTTTTCAAATAACTGAACTATGTCACAAAACAGCTCAAAAATATTTACAGGAATACAAAAATATCAAGCACCCAATAAGAAAAAACTTATACTGTCTGGCATTCAGAAATAACTAGGCATGTAGAAAAATGGAAAAATAAGACCTCAATGAAAAAAAATCAATCAAAAGCAACCTGTACTGACATAGATGTTATAGCAAACAAGAATATCCAATTATTATATATATTTCATATATTTTAAAAATTAGGCAGAGACATACATGGAAGATATTTTAAAAATACTAAAATTGAGGTCCTAAAAATCTGCAATGTATGAGATGGCAAAAACATTGTATGGGATTAACAGAAGATTAGACCTTGCAGAAGGAAGGATCAGTGAACTTGAAGATATATCTATAGAAACTTTTTTTTTTTTTTTTTTTTTTTGGAGATGGAGTCTTACTCTGTTGCCAGGTTGGAATGCAGTGGCGCAATTTCGGCTCACTGCAACCTCCGCCTGGGTTCAAGTGATTCTCCTGCCACAGCCTCTCGAGTACCTGGGACTACAGGCATGTGTCACCATGCCCAACTAATTTTTTGCATTTTTAGTAGAGATGGGGTTTCACCATGTTAGCCAGGATGGCCTCGATCTCTTGACCTCATGATCCACCCACCTCAGTCTTCTCAAAGTGCTAAGATTACAGGCATGAGCCACCACACCTGGTCAAAAAAAAATTTTTTTTAAATGAAAACAGCATTAGTGAGCTGTGAGACTTTAGAGGCTTAATATAACTAGAACTGGAATTTTCAAAGAGGAAGAGAGATGGGGAACAGAAAAAAATATTTGAAGAAATAACATCTGAAAAGTTTTCTAGTTTCATGAAAACTGTAAATCCAGAGGGCCAAAATGTTAGACAAAACACAAACATGTGAAACACGAAGAAAACCACACCTAGACACATCATAATCACATTGCTCAATAGTAAAATTGTTTTAAAAATTCTAAGAAATAAAAAATTCTAAAAATAGCCAGAGGGAAAACAAAGTTATGCTACATATAGAGGAAAAAAGATATGGATTCTAACAGATTTCTTGTCAGAAACAATGTGAGAAGACAGTAGAGCAACATGCTTATAGAGCTAAAAGCAAATTTGTGAACCCAGATTTCTGTACCATAAAAATATCCTCCACAAATAAGGTGAAATAAAGGCTTCTTCAGAGTTTTTAGAAAATATAGGTTTTCATCAAGGAATGAAAAGAAGAGGAAATGGTATTTACATAGTTAAATATTTTTTCTTATATTGTTTAAAAAATTCTTTAAACAATAATTTACTATTTAAACAAAAATAGTTATAATGTAGTATGGATTTGTAACACATGTGAAAGTAAAATTTGTAGCAATAGCCAAGGTCTAAGAAAGGAGAAATGGAAGCATAGTATTAAAAAAAATCTTGTAACATATGTGAAGTCATATAAAATCATTTGAAGGAATAAATTAAATATGCATACTGTAAACCCTAAATAAATTAAATATGTGTACTATAAACCCAATCATAAAGACGACAACGAAGACTTATGGCTAAGGAACCAACAAAGGAAATAAAAATGGAATAACAACAAATATCAATTAATCCAGGAGAAGACAGAAAAAAGAGAGGAAAAGGGAGCAAATAACGGAAGGGATAAATAGAAAACAAAGAGCAAGATGATAGACTTAAACCTAACTATATCAATAAGCACATTAAATGTAAATGATGGAAACACCTCAACTAAAAGCAGAAATTATAAGGTGGGGTATCCTGCCTTTAAGAAGCCCATGTTACACATAAAGACACAAAAAGGTTAAAAGTGAAAGGATGAACAATATATACCATGCCACACTAATCAAAAGAAAGTTAAAGTGGCTACATTAATATTAGACAAAGTAGATTTCACATCAAAAAATTTTACCAGAAATAATGAAGGCTATTTCATAATTTTAAAAAGGTTACTTCATTAAGGAACATAATGATCCTAAACATTTATGTACTCAATAACAGAGCTTCAAAGTATATGAGTAAAACTCATAGAACTGAAAAGAGAAATTCAAATATCAAAAATGATAGCTACAGATTAGAATACACCTCTATTACTAATTGAAGAAGTAGACAATCACTAACAATATACTATAGAATATCTAAATAATATTATCAACCAACTTGATCTGATTGGCATTTATGGAATGCTCCACCTAATAACAGCATAATATACATTATTTTTTAAGGACATAAATTACATTTACCAAGGATTATATTTTGGGCCATAAAAAGTGCTCAAAAAATTTAAAGGAATTCAAATGGACACAAAGTATATTCTTGGACCCAAATGAAATTAAATTAGAAAACAATGATAGAAAAATATTTGGCAAATCACCAAATATTTAGAAATAACATACTTCTAAATAAACCACTGCAAAAAAAATCAAAAGGGAAATTAGAAAATAGTTTCAACTGAAAGAAAATCTAAATATAACATATCAAACTTCGTGAGATGTTGCTAAATAGCACTTAGAAATGCAGTTAGCATTAAATGCATATGAGAGGAAAGAAACATCTCAAATCAATGACCTAATTTTTCACTTGGAAAACTAGCAAGAAAAGAGAAAACAAAATACACAGTAGGAAGAAGAGAGGAATAATAAAAATCGGAGCAGAAACCAATAGAATAAAGACCAGAAAAACAGTAGAGAAAATCAATGAATCAAAAAATTAGCTCTTTGAAAGGGTCAGTAAAATTGAAAACTCTCTAGCCATACTGATCAAGAAAAAAGTAGAAAACACAAATTACCAATATTAGAAATGAGAGAGTTGGGTGATATCACTACAGAATCTACAGATATTAAAAGAGTAATAAGGAGATTTTATGAAACATTTTATGTCAATAAATTCAACAGCTTAGACAAAAGAAACTAATTCCTTGAAAGATATAAACTATCAAAACCCACTCACAAAGAAATAGCCTGAATAGCCCTATGTTTAAATTGAATTTGTAAGCAAAAATCTTCCCACAAGGGCAACTCCAGGCCCAGGCGGCTTCACTGGAGAATTCTACATTAAAGAAATTAATAATAACAATGCTACACAAAATCTTCCAGAAAATTGAAAATGAGGGAATGCTTCCTAACTCATTCTATGAGGCCAGCCTTTCCCTGATAGCTAAACCAAACAAGATATTATGAGACAAGAGAACTACAAACTAATACTGTTGTTAATATGGATGTAAACATTCTAAACAAAATTTCAGCAGGTTGAATTCAATGATATATTGAAAGGGGTAATACATCATGTCTGTTATGGAAGGGTTTCTATGTAACATTAAAAAGCAATCATAATTCGCCATACGAATAAACAAAAGAAAAATCATTTGATGATCACAACACACGCAGAAACAGCATTTGACAAAATTCTACAGCATTCCTGTTCTTTTCTCTGTAAACATTTCATTCTTTATAACCTAGGAATAAAAGGGAACTTCCTCATGCTGTTCAAAAGCATTTAATTAAAAACCTACAGCTAACATTATACTTACTGCATGTTTTCCCTCCTAGAACAGGAACGAGACAGGAAGGTGTACTCTCTCTGCTTCTATTCAACATTTATTGGAATTCCAAACAAGTGTAATAAATCATTGTATGATACAAAAGTGTGGCTTAAACCTGTAATCCTAGCACTTTGGGAGGCTAAGGCAGGTGAATCACCTGAGCTCAGAAGTTCGAGACCAGACTGGCCAACATGGTGAAACCCTGTCTCTACTAAAAATACAAAAATTAGCTGGGCATGGTGGTGGGTGCCTGTAATCCCCGCTACTCGGGAAGCTGAAGCAGGAGAATCCCTTGAACATGGGTGGGGGTGGGATGGAGGTTACAGTGAGCCGAAATGATGCCACTGTACTCCAGGCTGGGCAACAAGAGTGAAACTCTGTCTCAAAAAAAAAAAAAAAAGTCACCCAGATTGAAAAGAAGTAAAAATGATTTTATCTGCAGAAGACATAATGATCAGAGCAGAAAATCTGATGAAATCTATTCAAGCATTACTACAACTAATAAATGAGTTTAGTAAGCTTTCAGGATACAAGATCAACATCCAGAAATCAATTTTAAATATATATATATATGTATATATATATATATATATATATATATATATATATATACACACACATATACATATATAAAATGAACAAGAATGAAAATTATAAAAACAATACCATTTATAATAGCATTATATAACATGAAATACTTAGAAGGAGATCTACTTAAAGATCTGTCCCTAAAGAGAAGCCTGACTAACACAGATGTGAAAGACCTGCATACTGAAAACTATGAAAACATGGCAGAAAGATATTAAGAGAGACTTAAATAAATGAATAACTTTTGTTCATTAGTCAGTAAGTGAAATTATATTTTCAGTTGTTTCCTTAGTTCATGTACAAATTCAATGCAATCCTAATCAAAATTCCAGCAGATGATTTTGTAGAAATTGACCAACTTATTCTAGAAGTTCACATAAAAACATTAAGGATCTGGAGTAGCTAAAACAGCTATGAAAAATAAGAACAACTTTGGAGTACTAACACTGCCTGACTTAGGACATATGAAATTACAGTAGCCAAGACACAGTGGTATTGGCATAAAGATAGAAAAAGAGATAAATAGAATAGAATAGAGTCTAGAGCTAGACCTTCACATATGCAGACCACTAATTTTCAATAAAAGTGCAAAGGCAATACTGTGACAAAGGGATAATTTATTTTTTAAATGGGTCAGAGCAATTGATAAGTATTTGCAAAGATATGTAAAACTTAAAACTATACAACTTTGAGAAAATAACATAGGAGAAATCTTCGTAACCTGCTGTTAGGCAAAAAATACTTAGATGTAATGGCAAGCTTAATTCAGAAAGAAGCCAATTGGTAAGTTGGACTCAGTCTTAAGATTTAAAACTTTCGCTGTTCAAAAGACACTGCCAAGGAAATGGAAAAAAGAAGCCATGAACTGGAAGAAAACATTTGCAAACTATATATCTAATAAAGCACTTGTATACAGAATATATAAAGAACCCTCAGAACTCAATAATTAAAAAAAATCAAAAAGATGGGCAAAAGAATTGAAGGATACTTCTTCAAAGAAGAAATATAGTGACAAATAAGCATAAGATGAAAGGCTGACATCATTAGACAATAGAAAAATACAAATTAAAGCTGTAATGAGATACCACTACAGAACCAATGTTAGTGAGGAGGTGAAGAGATTAGAACTCTCATACACTGGTACAACTGATGGGTAAAACAGTTTGCCAGTTTCTGAAAATGTTAGATATCCACTTACTATATGATCTAGCCATTCAACTATCAGGTATTATTTATCCAAGAGAAACAAAAGCACATGTCCATAGGAAGTCTTGTACGTGACTTATACAATGTGCTCGTACAATATTCATTTGCAGTATCAAAGATCTGGAAACAATTGAAGTGTCCATCAACAGAGGAATTAATAAATAAACTGACAAAACCATACAATGGAATACTATTCAGCAACAAAAAAGAGAATGAACTATTGTTAGACACAATGGTGTGATGCAACCCCAAATTAACAATGTTAGGTGAAAGAAGATCAACAAAATGAGAGTACATGCTATATGATTTCACCAAAATAAATTCCAGAAAATGTAAACTTAGTGTCAGAAAGCAGATCAGTGGTCACCTGGGGATGGAGAATGAACAAGCCAAAGAAAACTTTTGGGAGTGATGAATAGGTTCATTGTCTTGATTGTGTTGATGATGTAGGTTCAGCTTCCTCTAATTTTGTACTTTTAGTGCAATTTATTGTATTTATGAAGATTTTAAAAAGGCAAACAAAAACTGGAAAAGTATATTTGCAACAAATATAAAAATTGTATCTATAATAGATAAAAGGTTAATATAAATGGACACAAAAACACTAATATTCTAACAGAAAAACAGGCAAGATCACACACAGATTTTAAAAATAATAAAAATATAGATGGGGTGTGGTGGCTTATGCATGTAATCCCAGCACTTTGAGAGGCCAAGGTGGGTGGATCACTTGAGGTCAAGAGTTTGAGACCAGCCTGGCCAACATGGTGATACCCTGTCTCTACTGAAAATATAAAAATTAGCTGGGTGTGTTGGCACCTGTACCTGTAATCCCAGCTACTCAGGAGGTCGAGGC